ACTTTATCATATATCAAATCGCTAGCTCTATTCTCAGATTCTTCAACGACCACGCACATGGTCGCTTCCTTTGACGAATTTACGACCTTTGTTAAATAATGGAGTGAAGTTTGGTCACATTTCAAGCTCATCTCTGATTCCTGACGATTCCCTTGTTTATACTCCCATAAAACCAGCAAACAATCGACACCCGCGCGCGTTCCAAAAGCGTCGCAGCAGTGCCCAATAAAGCATGATTATGCTTTATATTGCGAGGAAATTGTGCCACTGTCAGCTACTGTAGCTTCTGTGTTGTATTTTGTTCTGTGAAGGTGAGAGTACAGAGACGAGAGGGGCCAAGTCACAAGTGCCTTATGAGGTATCATTTATACTTAGTTTTGGATGGAACTACAATGCTGTGTTTTTGAGGATAGCTGACATACTTATTCCGACAATTTTTGTGATAAGTAGCTTAATCAACTTCTACAACTTAAGCTTCTCCAAACCCTTACCCTTCAAGCTTAAAATCAAGTTTAAGGTTTTGAGTTTAGAAGTTTGAAAGCACTTTTTGTCATCAAAAGCTGTGTAATAATTCCTTTTTTATGCTCATAAAATTGCTCGAAAGAGTTGAAACAATGTTGTGCGTTTTATTTGTCTTTCCTATAGATCCTAAATGTGAACAGGGTAATTTCTAAATACAATAGATCTAGCTTCAGTCACGAAGAAGGTGACTGTTAGCTGGTCTGTGAGACACTTTCTCATCTGAACAAGCACTTATCTATTGTTATCTTAATGTCATATCTTTCTTGCAGCTAATTTTTATTATATGATATCAGCGGCACAAATGACAAAGCTTGTCATCGAATTTGTTTTTGATTCAACATGCCGTGGCAAAGGGGGAATACTGATGTTATGAGTATTTCCAGGAACTAGTTCAGTTACATTTTGCTATTTACGGACACATTTGTTTTACTTTATTAGTTTTTGAAGATGCTGCTATTCTTCCTGTTCATTCAAGCTGTTTTAACGAGTCAATATGGAAAGGAGCTTACGTTAGGTATACAACTCTCCTTCTACTGTCCATCCTTGGCTTATCAAGTTTGTTTCCAGAAGAAACCGAAAAACTCACAGGTTCAGCACTAGAAGACTATTTGAAGAAGCATCAGACTTTGTTTCAGGTCGGGTGACGTTTTTTTTGCCAATCTGTAAAGTGAAATTCACAAAAGCCCAATGTTGAATTGGTAAATGTCGAATATGAGCCAAAAAAGAGCGATCTATCCAGTCCACAAAATATTACTCTAAATACCTCAAAATCCTCATAATTGGTCAGAATACACTAGTCTTTTGGTCTGATATTCTGAGGAAAAAGTCGCCACTGTTGTAGACTTGTATGGTTTTAGGTTGGAAGGACACCTGCAGCCGAGGAAGGAATGAAACATTTGATGGATTTAAAGTATTTGGAAATTCCTGGTGATGTAGAAAAGGTAAAAATAGAGACCGATGAGGAACCACCGGTGAGGTTAGCATAAATTCTAAATTGTCTGTACTGAATGAGAGATATAATGCTACATAGAGGTATGATACAGGGCCAAAAGACCCGACTTTCAAAAAATTTTGCATCGTTCTATACTTCTTTGAGCGTTGAGCCGCAATCCAAGATTGGTATAATGGTTTATGAGGCTTACGCTTCGCTTAAAGCCTTTGATATATAGCTCATCTTGAGAAAATCACAGAGGATTACCGTAAATTCACCAGTGAATTATAAGTTGTGGTCGTTGTGGGGAGTTGCCAAAGGGGTTTAATGCGGGTTGTAGGTCAAAACATGCATAATTCCAAGAACGGCAAAAATTCTTTTGTTACGGCAATTGCATTTCTCTTTCCTATTCATTTTTATACTCCTTGCAATAATGCAACAGGCTTCTAGGGATCTTGCGCCTGCCACCAGCTACACGCAATAGAATTGAATCCAAGGTTTATAATTCATTATTCTGATGTCGCAGCTTGCGATGAGTGCTTAGGAGCTTACACATACTTGCTTCCCGCAAACCGTCTAGGTGTCTCCTTATTTGTACACATAGCGGCCTTCCCGTTTCACCAATATATTCATCCTTGCATGACTTACATGGAGATATATGACCCCAGAACGCATGCAGTCTCTCGGCATTTTAGGAGCAAATCGTATATCTCGCTTTTCCACAAGATTGGTCATATGCCCGATTGCGGACTAAGCGTTGCCTGAAATTCGCAGGAGGACGATATCGGACAAGTAGAAACGTAAACCTAAGAAACCGTGGTACCAATCTTGAGTTGCGGCTCAACGCGCAAAGAAGGTACACAGAGGTTTAGGCTCATAAGCCTTTACAAGATGATTATCGTGTCGCCATTTACAAAAAATTATTAGTGGAGGCCTGAGTTTTCGCTACTACTTGCCTTGAAAGGCTGAAATTTTAAATCGGATTGAGCCCTTTTGTTGAACGTCTTTTCCATCCTGGCTAACTTCGGCTTCCCGTGCACGAAAAGATCCATCTAACAATGTAGAACGGATTATTTTTTCACAATTTGCACAGAACATTGCGAGTGTGTGCACGGCACTCGCAATATTTTGTGCAAATTGTGAAAAATTAATCCGTTCTACATTGTTAGATACATACTAGACAATCAATTGGCAGTAGTGGAAGCAACAGCTTGGAAGCGCGAAGATTTTTAATTTGAACTCTCTGTAAATGACAATAAAATTGG